TCCCTGCAGTGGCTTTTGCACCAAGGCACCGAGAAACTGCAACCCGGTGAATATATATATATATAAAATATATATGTACACATAGTGTAAAGCCCTTTAGCTCAGGTCCTCAGGGCTTCATCCACCACTGATGCACCCTGAGCCCGTGGAAGGTCTCAGCAGGGCTTTGGCCACCTTGGATTCGCATCCCTGCAGAAACACAGCGGTGTAAGGCAGGAATTGCACCTCAGGATGCCTCTTCTGCCTCTTTTTTATGTATTTCCCCCCCTTTTTTTAAAGCTCTGTCTTCTGGGGGTTGCTTTTCGTGTTCCTCTAATGTGCTTGGATTGAAACCCCCAGAGAGATGTAGGTACTCGGAGCTTGCCAGCAGCGACACATTAGAATCTGTCATCTGCTGCGCATTACCTTATTTTAAATCTGTCTCTTTGGAGCCACGTAACTGCATAAGAAAATATTAAAGTAAACAATAACTGGATTTACACAAATGCGCCTGATTTCCATATTTTTCATCACTTCATTTTATTACCGAGTTTACTGATATGCTCATTTATTTATAGGGCAATCCAGTATTGATTCATTCCAATGCACTATGCATAAACACATAAAAGAGAGTGATAACAATAGGAATACATTCCCGGTCTTTTAAATACTGCCTTTTTTCCCGTTAGTTTCCATTAGATCCGCGCCAAGGCTGAGAGCCGGGCGCTGCGGACACAGATCCTGGTCCAGGGCATCCCTGTGCTCCCTCCGTCCGCTCCAGGCTGCCTTTCCCAGGAGGTTCTGGGGGGATTTAGCCTGGAAAAGGAATTCTGCTCCCTTGCGTTGAGGTTTCTCAGTGGTTTTGGTCCGGGCACCATCTCACCCAGCTGCTCTTTGGGTGTGCGCTGAAGGCAGCAGGACTTTCATTTCTGGACCTGCCAGCAGGAGATTTGCCCCTTTTTGCCCCATTCTGGGGGAGTTTCCAGCGAGAGGAGCCAATTTCCAGCTCTTTTTTGGGGCTGCATCCCGAGCCATCCTGTAAAACAGGAGCAGGTTGGAGGGGCAGTGAGGGCAACTGCCTGGAAGACCCCCGTTTCTGCTGTTTCTCTCCTTTTTCTTTTTTTTCTTCTTTTTTTTTTCTTCTTTTTCCCCCTTTTTTTCTTCCTTTCGTGTTCTTAACTTTTTTTCTTTTTCTTTACGCCCTACTTTGCGCTCCCCATCAATATTCAGCAGGGAGAGCACAGAGCTACATCATCCTTGGAGCCACGGGAAGGAGCCCATAAAACCGCAGTGATGGATGGCGAGAGTTCCCCCTCCGCGCCGTCTCGAAAATGGGAAGCAGGCAAAAAAATACAAATATATCACCTCAAAATATTAACCTGTGCCAGCACGGATGAGCTTCTCTAGGCATTTCTGCTCTCGTTTCCACAAGGAACTTGTGGACGTTTAGGATACTGTAGCCTTCACCTCTAATTTCTTCCTTTGGGAAGGGGCCGGGTGGGAGAAATGGGATAAAAACAGCTTTGGTTTTTCGTCCTGATTAGATAAAGGGCAGTTTATTTTGCAGAAAGCCGCCCGCGATGGCAGCTTGATGGCAACAGCTTGAAGTGGCCCAAGTTTGAATATCCTTGCACGCGGAGAAAAGAGCAGCGCCAAAGCCCTGCTAATTACAAAAGTTGCTTTATGAAAGATAATTCAAAGCAATAATTTAGCAAACATAATCAAGTAGCGCAGATGGGGATTTTGATGAATAGTTTGCAACATGCAATTAGCAGCTCTTGCAGTTACATATCATTAACCCTCAGAGCACAAAAATTATTTTCTCATTATTAGATGAAAAGGTAAAATTAAGCTGACTAGACAGTAAAGGAACAAACTACAATTAATTACCTTCATTTATTACAGTCATTATTTTAAACTTATTTTTCCCCCTTTTACTCTGATAGATAGATGAAAACATCTAAATTAAAAGTTTTGTTAGGCTAAATGGGAGGTGAAGCTTTGTGCTCCCGGCCGGCCGCTCCGCCGGGGGCACGTGGCCGGAGCAAGGGAAAAATGGGATCAAACTGCACCCTTGGGAATCCAGGAGCTGCTTGGACATCTGAGCCCAGGTGTTTTGGGGAAAACATGTCCCTTTCCTGCGCTCGGCATTGCCTTTTCCCGTTTTTTTTTTTCCTTTTTCCCTTGCTCCAAGCTATGGGCTCTGGGCAGCCGCCCGCCCTCCAGTCCAGCTGGTGCGTCTCTCCCAGATGGGTTACAGGTGCCAAATGTTGGGAGAGGCCGGAAAAACAAATTATGAGGAAAAAAAAATAACGTTTGAACCTGTCACTTAAAAAGGCAAAAAAAAAAAAAAAAAAAGGTGGTAAAAAGGGTAAAATCAGCTTAGGAGGTTTTCATTGGCCAGGGCAAGATGGCCCTGGGCCAAGGAAAAGCTGCCAGCTCTTCCAGGGGTGGCACAAGGGGAATTCCTTGGAAAACAGGCAAAAAATAAAAGGCAAAAAAACCCCAAATCTCATGAGCTTAACATCCTCTGACTCCGGCGTCAGGAACTTTGCCAAAGCGTCATTGAACTTGTCAGGAAGTATTACAACAAAATTAAGAACTAGCAGCAATTTTCTCTCATTCGGGATCATGTGCTTTATAAAGTAAATTATTAATGCATTTTTTTTTTCCCTCAGTTTAGCAGTTATTTGCAGCGGCCGCAGCAGATTTCTCATTAGAAATAACATCATCTAAAGAACGGTATCGATTCATACTGTGGGGTTTTTTTTGTTTGTTTCTTTTTTTTTAATCTCGGAATCGCCAACGTGAACAACATATTTATTCGCCGTTGCCTTTAACTAGGGATCTCGCGCTTTATTTTCGTATTATTGATCCTCTGCAGGCGAGTGGCTTTTTGGCCGCGTGAAGGCGGCGCGAGGGGGACGGACCCGGGTGCGTGGGTGACGCTGGCTGCACAGTCACGCTTTTCCATAGCTTTGCAAAGCCAAGGAATACTCCTCTGGAAAAAAACAGGGATATCTCGCCTGCGTGATGCCCTCCAAGGGGTTTTTCCGCCCCAGGGGCTGCTCAGAGCCCTCGATCCTGGATGGCATCGGGATGGAGCCACCGGCTCCTCCTGCAGCTCTGCCATCCTCCTCCTTCTTCCCAGATTTCTTTATTCATGAGCAAAAAGAGAGGAAAATAGCAAAGCCTGGAGGTTTTTTTCCCCCAGCAGTTATTTTTTTCATCGGTTTTCTTCAACGTTTGGGGTCTCGGCTGCCGCTTTCTCCCTTGGCAGCTGTTCCTCGCCTTTCTAAAAAGCGCTCATTTGGGTTTGACTGTTTTCCCGAGTATTTAGATGGAAATAACCCGCTACTTATCCAGCACTTGATCTCGCGCGCGGGAGAAGA